CCCATACCACCCCTTACCCAGAGCCCTTTCTCTCTCTACCTCACACACACACACCCCTCCTCTTTCCGTGGCACGTGGTCAGGCCAGGGCTGGCTGCATTTTCTCTCTCGTTCTCTTTCACTCCTGCAGGAATTTTTCAGCAGTTCCCACAGGAAAGCCATGTGTGTGTGTGTGCATGTGCACATGCATGTGTGTATGTGCATGTGCTGAGAAGGCAAGAATTCCTAAGCCTCCCTCTGCCTGGCATGACCCTGGCAGGGCCGAGGTGGTGGTGTTGAGGTCCCAGCTGGAGGCAGCCTGGGGACCCCGGACACCCAGGTTCCCTGCCCAGCATGGAGGGGACATGCGGCTTACCGGGCTCGGGCGCCGGGAGCAGGGAGGTGGAGCCGGCTCCGTTGGGCCCGGCCAGGCTGGGGGGCTTCTGGGTGCCCGGCGGGAGGCTGCTGGCCTCACCCGGCACCTTCAGCCCCAGCTGCTTGGCGACCTCGGGGTGGTCCCCGGGGTGGATGTAGTCGAAGATGCTGCTGCCCGTCAGCTCCACCTGGAAGGCAAAAATGGGGGGTTGGGAAGGAAGGGCACTGCCCCCGGCCCCCAATTCTGGTCCCCTGCATGTCCTAGCCCCTGCCCTGCGTCCAGGGGTGATGAGTCTCCTGTAATCTCAAGTGGGGAGGGAGGTATGTGGGGGGTAGATAAAGGGCCGGGGAGGCGGGCAGTGCCTAGGATGGAGCGGGACCAGCTCTGGGAAGGGAGTGTGGTTCGGCAGCTGGAGTAGGAGGGCTGCGGGGGGGTCGTAGGGCGTCATGGTTAGCGCGGCAGGGGGCACAACACACGCACACGCAACACCCCCGTCTGCAGTGATCCGGATGGACACGCTGGCCCTTCTCCACCCCCGGATCAGGGACTGAACCCAGGCATGCCGGCTCCCAGCCCCTGCTTTACCCACTAGGCCCCACTCCTCTCCCCCCGCACAGCGCGCCTCCCCGTACCTGCGAGAGCCCCAGGTAGATGGACACGGTCTCCGAGATGTAGAGGAACTTCCCCTCCTGGTTCAGGGCGAACACGAACCCGTCCAGCGACTGGGGAGACAGAGCGAGCC